TCCCTCACTCCTTCTTTCTGATCTACTGCCTCAAAGAAAGAAGGTGAAATGAATTCAAATGGTAAAACAGACCGTGCTCACTTTCAAATCCTACACCTGCCTTTGTCTTTTTTGCACTCGATTGGTTCAAACCGAAGCAGCTCGGGCGCCGTTGTCATATTTACGTGGACAAACAACGCTCTGCTTTTGATGTGATAAACGGCCCCAGTGCTTAGATGATAACGGCGCGCTCGTAAACGTGTCAAGGATGTTTTACAGCTCTGAGCGTGTTTCACACTGCAGGACGAAAAAACGCCGAGGCTCATTTTTACATCACACAGTCTTCGATGCCATAACCATCGAACTGAACTCACGGTTTAGGCAAAAAGAGAGAAATGTTATCTATGTCTACAGATAAAAGTCATGACGGATTTGGTTTTTTTTTTCAGAAAACTATAAGCAATATTAGGACAGTGGTCACTCCGTGGTGGCAGAGGTCATCTGTTCTTCTGTCAGTTTTTCCCATCAACCTTCAGTCCTCTTTTGTTCCAGCTTCTCGTCCTCCAGCCTCCGGTGTTTAATCCTCGACTTTTGCAAAGAACTTCAAAAGCCAGTGTGTGCTGATTGGATAGTTATGGCTACGGGGCGGCAGAGTGGGGAGGTGGACTCGGATTTTTATCGAAGTGTGTGCTTGTCGTGACAAACCGCTGGGGCCGCAGCAGGCCGTCTTCAAGCAACAAGCCAGTAGCCCCCGCCATCAGCTCCTTGAAAGTAATCCACCCTGCAGAGCCCTCTGAGGCCCACTTTGTTCCTTCCTGCGGACTAGACCGGGCTCCAGACAGACACACCAGTCTTGACTGGCTATCAGTTTCGTAGCCCGCGGCTATTCCACATCCATGCGCAGGCCCCGGCCCCGGCCAAAACAACCATCACATTAAAGGTGGCTGAATGGGAAGGTGGGGTAGTTCAGGGCAGTGGAGTGAAAACGGTGTCACCTGAATTCTGTCCTAGAACCCAACGTGGCCAAACAGGCGGTGCAACGAGGAAATGAAACGGCAGAAGCAAAAGTATATATATATATATGAGAGAAGGAATTTCAACAAGAAGCGCTGCCTCTCTGTGAACAGAACTGGATCTCAACAAGGCCATTATCTGGCTCCTAATTTGAGCTCTGGCACAGCACTGAAGGGCTGCCTTTGTCTGGGATTAATGCGGAAAAGCTCAGGATGCAATGTCAGAGGGAAATAATCAGCATGGGCCCTTCATAACGTCGGCTGCCTGTGCTCCTGGCCAGGGCCCCCGGCTCATTTCTGTGGAGATGAAATCTATGACAAGCCCCTCAGTGAAGCTGAGAGCAGGCAACAGTCCAGTAACACCCACAGGCCTCCAGGCATCCTGTGAC